CTTGAGAGCTAGTCTAACAAGTGAGTGGACAAAGGAGGTGGTACTGATGCTAAACAAAGGTAGTGTACTCCCTGCTCCTCTAACACTTAAACTGATGGATGACCTAGGCTAGTGAGGAGGGCTGTATGTGTGGCTCTTCATCTCAGTGGGCTGCAAGATTGTCGTAACCAAGGTTTCCCGGGATAAGGTTGTCAGGCTGTTCCCCACTCTGGCACTCCGAATGCAGAAGGTGGTGGCCTGCAAGACAGCTTCAGACAGACCTTGCAGGACACAATCAAATCATCACCTTAAAAGAAGTGGTTTCTGTGTGTCATTATAAAAAAAAGAGAGAAACTTGATAAAGCAGACTTGGTTGCTAGATGTTAAAGCACCCAAGGAAAACAAATTAAACAGAAGTCTTGGCAAAAAGCTTAGATGGTAGTAAATGGGGAGGGGAGGCATAGATTTACACAGAGCAGTTCAAACCAAACCCCAAAATAAAGAAAAATCTCCCTGAACGCAACTGGACTCCTTTCCCCTAGTTCTTGTTTCTAATTTTCTTCAGCCTGCTCCCATGCCCTGGGGGTTGGTTGTTGGAGGTGGGGGTGGAGGGTATGGCAGTCCTGCCTGGGTTTAAATCCTTCTGTGTTTCTCAACTCCTGGTTTAACTCTCCCACACAAAGAAAGCAGGCAAGCAACCTATATCCAATTCAAATTCCAACCCTCTACCTCGATTGGGCCAGGGGGCCAACACCTTTGTTAGGTACCTGAGTTAACCCCTTGGTCAGCTCTCCTCCTGTTCATGACAAGGGTAATTCTGCTCACTGCGCTTGTGGGCCTAGAATTTGTGGGATGCGCCAATTGAACCATAGCAGTGCTTTGACTGGATGCAGTAAAAAATGTCTCATGGGCCCCACACAGAACCCTGATGGGCTGCAGGTTGCCCACCATTGCTTTAACTTGTGTATAGCAGCTTAAAGTAATCTTGTTAGCTTTACTGCAATATTAGAAAAATAAACACAGCACATTCCAAATAAACTTGTCTCTTGTTGACACTCCTTTAATATTTACCCATTGAACTGTCTGTAGTAGTGTGCTCTATTGTAGACCTGTTGAGTTTGTGTGGTGTCTAATGCATGTCTTTCATTTGCATTGCCACTTGGGGGCTTGAAAAACACGTGGATTTTCTGGAGTGTTCTGGTTACTGATAACTGGATGCCTCTACAGTGAGGAGGGGCATGGAAAACTAAAGTTGGGGTGATTTTGAAGGTGTCAAGAAATGGTCCTTGATACACCTATTGTAAGAGGATAAAGAATGTTCTTCTAGTGACTGTGTCACGGAAAGATCAAGGATTGTATTTGGTTTGGATACATTCTGTTGTATGCTTATGAAGGTGGGATTTTTATCTAAATGTGAGGTAAAAAAATTCTCACACATGACTTGGTGTGTTTGGCCTGATGTAATTCCTACCTCTTTTGCAGGCACAATGATTATAAAGTGGCTTCCCCAGCTTTGCGAGCTGTAGGCAACATTGTGACAGGTGATGACATCCAAACCCAGGTGAGTGGGCTGAATTTAAAGTGGCTTAAAAAAAAGTCCAGATCCTCCTTCAGAGAAGGATTAAAGCTTTCATGATGTATGGGAGCTCAGATTTCTAGATTTGCCATTGGAAGATGAAATCTAGCTTAGAACACCCACCCTTATCAAAACAGAATGGCTCAACCTGCAGAGTCATCCATAAGACCAATTGAGCCATATCAAAAATGCCTTCTATGTATTGGTTCCTGTGAAAAAACGTGCCTAAAACATCTCATTATAGCCAAAGCTTTTGTGTAGGGAGGCAAGTCTCAGGACTTCAGTCGCTGAAACGCCTCATTTCCGGTACCAAAGAACTAGGGGTGTCACGTTTTGCCCCCTCCTTGAGCTCTGCTACAACTGGAGGTGAGGAGCAGGGTATAGTGGAAGGAAGCTTGTCTTCCTTCTGCCTCCCGTACCCCCAGACAGCACCTTTCTGAAAGAACCACTTGAATTGGGATGTCCGATCCTAAGCACGCCTCTCTGGGATAGGAAGGACTGGGGCAGTTTCCTATTGTTCCTAATGGAACACCTTGGTCAGTGGCAGGAATTCCTGAAAAATATTGAAGAAAATATTCCTCCCCATAAGAATCCAGGGATCTGCTATATGGAAGTGCACAAAGGCAAATGGTGTCGTCCCCCTAATGCAGGGTTACTCAACTTTGGAAGCCCCAGGGGCCACAGTGATACTCACAGCACATGCCGATGGCCACAACTTGTGTGGTTGCATATATATGCAAATAGCTTCTTTCCCACTGACGGGCATAAATACAAAGCACTTCCTACAATGCCCCAGTGCTCCCAGCACTTCCTCCCTGGGGACTAGAAATGTCAACACCCTGTACCCGTCTATGCCAGCCAGACCATCCGCTTGTGTTTTCCGATGCTCACCCTGCCTGGGAGACACCTCCTCATGTTCAGAGGATCCCGCCAGCGGGCCGTGTGTAAGCGCCACATAAACCCAAAGCGTAATATGGGCCGCATGCTGAGTAGCCCTGCCCTAACCTGTACTCTTCTCTTAAGGTGATCCTGAACTGCTCAGCTCTGCCTTGCTTGCTTCATTTATTAAGCAGTCCCAAAGAGTCCATCCGGAAGGAAGCTTGCTGGACTATTTCTAACATCACTGCTGGAAACAGGGCTCAGATACAGGTACAGCCTCTAGAATCCTTCCCAGGCCCACCTGCAGTATTCTTGGAGCACCTGTTAAAACAATGCTTACGTGATGGTGTTTAAAGGCCTCTTTTTCTATCCTGACTTCCCTTTTTCTCTGGTTATTTGCAGGTACAATTACAGGAGTCCCCCGACTTGCGACGTGATTCGTTCTGGGGGAAGCGTCGCAAGTCGGGGGCATCCTAACTCATTTACGATAGGCGCCATGCGCCGTGGTAAATTCGGGCGGAAGGATGTAAGTCGGGTGTCTGGCCCTTTCCGCACTTGCAACCATTTTTGTAAGTGCGGGTGGATCGGAACTCGGGCGGTCGCAAATCAGGGGCCTCCTGGAGTGTAAATGTTCTACTTGACTGCCCCCGCAGTGGTAGTTAGACTTGTCTAATTATGCCCCCAAATAGACGCTGCTTTGTAATAAGCTGTAAATGTCTAATCACTGAGCATGGGCAGGTGAGGATTAATCTAACTCTTCATTGTGGTTCCAAAGTTCAGATATACACCTAGAATAATGCCTTTCAAATGGTGTACAGCATTCAATTTTAACAATCCTTTCTAAGGGCTTATATCCAAACTGATGCACATAGGAGGTCTTTGGTCACTGTGATATTAGTACAATAATAGGAGATGAAGTTCTTCAAGGGTAAATGTATAGGACATGGTAGGGAGAGCAGATGGGGACCGCAGAAAAGGTTATTGGCTCTTGTTCAGAGCCTGCTAGCTTTTGAGTCACTTGGCCTGTTCTCAACATTGCTCCTGTCTTCTCCCCTCAGGCAGTCATAGATGCCAACATTTTCCCAGTGCTGATTGAAATCTTACAGAAAGCAGAATTCCGCACGAGAAAAGAGGCCGCCTGGGCCATTACAAATGCAACATCAGGCGGAACCCCAGAGCAGATCAGGTACTGGGCAGGGATCTTTTTATCTGTACTTTCTCTCTGACTCCATGAAGCTACAGCAGCTTTGTACAATCAGTTTGCCATCAGCATTTGGGGCCATCCCTTCATCCACCAAATCCTCTGGCTGACTTGGCCTTCAGAGAAGGTCCAAGGTGCAATTGGACATTCAGCATGTATTTATAGCTTTCACTAAACTCCAGTTCTTTCAGTGGAGAGAATACACTTTGGTAAAGTCATTCATGTAGGGATAACTTACAGATGTTGCTTCTGTAGTCACCATTGAGACGACAAATGGGAATGACAGGCAGGTTTTCAGGCTATGTAGAAGATGTGCCAGAAATGCATCGGTGTGATCTGTCAGTTCCAAAGTGCTGCAGCAGGGGTTGACAAACTTGTCAAACCAAAGAGCCAAACTACACTAAAATTCAAACAAGCGGTCAACAAAGAATGCCCATTTGCATGACTGAAAATATACATCTTTAATATTAATTGACATGATGATTAATAACATAAATGAAACCTACAGACTTTGAGACTTCTGCTACTGCATCTTTTTGCACATTGCTTTGAAGCTTACATAACTAGTCAAATTCAGGTTCGTGCTGCATTCAAGCTGCATGAGTAATGTGTTTTTCAAATTTTGAATTTGTTTCATTTTAATTTTAAAAAGCTGCATGTATTTTGGGAATGGCAAAAGAGCCAGATTTGACTAGAGCCATGGGTTGCAGACCCCTGTGCTACAGGATACAGTTGGGTAAAACACAATAGGTTTGTGGTGGTAGATATTTGGATGTGCATTTTCAGAGAGTTTTAAATGCGACTCCCATCCAATTTTCCTAGCAGTTGCATGGCTAATCCTTCCAAGTGTAAATACCAATTGGGTATCCCACTTCTGACTGGGTGATTCAAGAGAGAGCCGCACAAATGAGCATGTTGGGGAGGAAAATATCTGAGCTATGTCATAGTGTAACTTTTTTTATAAATAAAACACCTCAAATGTAGTATAAACTGTATTTACATCCTTTGCATGGCACAAGATTTTTAAATACTCATAAGTATTCAGCACCTTGGCCATGCAGTCTAAATCTGGAGGTGTCTAGTCTGCATCATGTACATGATATGCATATGTGCCCGCTCTGTCTGATACCAGACAAAACCCAGTAAGGCACTTAACTTCCTAATCCATCAGTACTTGCTCTTGGGCTAAACCCTTTTCTGTTGTGTTTTGAATGAAACAGGTCTTTGGCTTCAAAACTCTATGATGTGGGTCTAATAGAAGCAACAGCTTGGCAAAGTTAGAGGATCTTGCAAATATTGTGTGCTTTACACAGGGGAATGTAGAATATGTACTGTTAGTTATGTTTAACTTTGTTGCTGTATTGTGTAGGTAATGCACAACTTGTGCAAGTTTAAATTTAAACAGATACGGGGTATTACTCTTTGATACTGCAAAAAAAATTAATAAATACCTGGTTAATTATAGGCTAAATCCTTTAAAGATATGCTATTGAATTTAAGAGCCATGGGAATATCTTCATATCTCTAATTCCAGCGAAGACTTGTGTTGGGATATAAATGCTGCATGTGACTGTAAACAAGTGGTCCAGATAATCCAGTTTCAGAGTTTACTTTGTGCCATTCAAGCCACTTCTGACTTCAAAGGGAGGAGAATGATCACACACTATAAATAAGGGCCCTAGTTGTTAGCACTCAAGATAGTGGTTCAAGGGTCTAATTTAAACACCCAGCTTCCAGAGCTAATGGTGAAAGAGATTACCTGTTAGGGAAACTTGTATTTTAAATATTGCCTAAACCTAAATGCCTCCCTAGATCCCTGCCACAACATTATGTAAACATTGAGTTTCTCAAGAAGGAAAGCTACCTTCTCTGTGCCTTCTTTTCAGGTACTTAGTAAACCTAGGCTGCATTAAACCTCTGTGTGACCTGCTGACTGTCATGGACTCCAAGATTGTTCAAGTGGCCCTGAATGGCCTGGAGAATATCCTGCGGCTCGGGGAGCAGGAGGCCAAGCAAAGTGGTACAGGCATCAACCCTTACTGCAGTCTTATTGAGGAAGCCTATGGTAAGTGGCTCTCCCTGTCTTTGCTGCTTAAGAAGTAATGCAGGAAATGTGTTGGAGGTTGTTTTATGCTCTCTTGCTGAAAGAGTTGGTCCCCACAAACTTCTGATAGGGATGCTAGAGATTCTGGATTAACTGCAGTTTACCACAGTAGTTAGTCTGTATAAACACACTCTTTGTGGCTTGTCCTAGTATGTGATTATGGGGACCTAGGATGAGTATCATGGAAATGAATGCAAGAGTTTTCTGGTCCAAGGAATCAGAGTGAGGGTATAGTTGGAGTTCTCACAAATTGGCATAATTGACCAGTGTTAGGGCTGCCTTTCAAGAAAACAAATGATTGTAGAATTATTTTGGGTACTAACAAGACACTTGCATAAAATCACTCTTTTTATAAGGCCCAAAGGTGTGCTTGGCACTAAGTGGAAAAACAAGAGTAGCACAGCTTCTGTCCCGGAGAGATCAGTCTCCTCTTGTCACTTCTCTTCCTACTTCCTCCTCTGAGCTCCTTGGGGCAAGGACCTGTCTTCAGTTTTAGTTGGAAGTGCCTCATGCAGTGTTGGTGCACTGTAAATGACCTGGCCAGTAAGATGTCAGATTTGTGGTGTATGTCTAAATAGGAACAACTCATCCCCTTACTAAGGGGGTGTATACACTGCAGCGCTTGACTGGGAATAAGCTATGCAAACTGAGCTATGTCCGTTGCAGAGCTTATTTCAAAATAGGGAGCAGCTACACAGCACTTATTTCGAAATAGAGCACTCTTCCTCCAACTTCCCTTACTCCTCATACAATGAGGGTTACAGGCGTCTGAGTAAAGTCCTCCAGCTTGACGGTATTTTGAAATAACTGCCTGCTGTGTAGACATGGATAAAGTTTTCAGAATAGTGCTCGTTGTTTTTTGAAAGTGTGGCAATGGAGACGTACCCCAAGTCTTAATTGGACCCTCTAACCTCACACAGATTCATTCCAGATGCTGTTTTGGATAACGAAGCTAGATTGCTTTAGAATCTTCTCTGGGGACAAAATGAAGACTGAACAAATGGTGGTCCTGAGTATAATCCAAACAGTTGAAAGAATGAAGGATATATGCAGGGCAGGGAACATTATGGATGTTCTGATCAGTCTTGACACATTGCATTTTTTTTCCTTTCTCCTCCCCCCCCCCCCAAAAAAAAAAAGGATTGGATAAAATAGAGTTCCTGCAGAGCCATGAGAACCAGGAAATATACCAGAAGGCCTTCGATTTGATTGAGCACTACTTTGGAGTAGAGGATGACGACTCAACTTTGGCTCCCCAGGTAGATGAGAACCAGCAACAATTCATCTTCCAGCAGCCTGAGGCCCCTATGGAAGGCTTTCAGCTATAATCTCTTCAGAGGGGGAAGAACACCATGAACTTGCCCAAAATCAACTGGGAGCAGCCAGAGTTATTGTCCCATTTTTTCCCCTCCTTACAAACGGAAGGCGCAAACACTCACGCCACCCATTAGGAAATGATTCCTCCTTCAAGAACAGCTAGAAGCAACGCTTTGCTCTCATGGAAAGAAGGGGATTTTGTTTTGTTTTTTACAGTTTTGGTTTCATTGTTTTTTGCTGCTGCATACATGTCTTTAAAGCAGGCACCAAGGTGGAGGAAGGACACGAAGGTAACAAATTGCACCTCTTAGTTTTAATTTGTGGTGATCTTTCCCAAAATATTGTGTCATTTGTTACCTCGGGTACTTAAATGAAATTTCAGTGGGGTGGGGTGGGGGGAAAAATCAAGTTAAGCATTCTCTTCTGACATTAATCCTGGAAGCTAGGGTTGATCTATTTAATTTTTTTGCACATCTTACTCTTTTTGTTAAAGACTCTAAATCTGCCAAGAGCAAAGTTTAGCCCCTCACCTTTTTGCAGCTCTCCTTTAGTGGACCGCGCCATTGGACATGGGCCAAGTTCCCCTTGAAACATACTGTAAATGGACAAAGGAGAAGTGGGAAGACTCTTCCTGGGGAAGGATTTTTTCCCTTTGTTTAAAAATATTATTTTTCTTATTTTTTGGAAGAACTGCTATTGGTATTTATATAAAAAAAGCAACAAAACCCCAAAAATGGTAATTGTGAAGAGGTGGGGCAGCTGTTTAGGTGGTCTTTGAAAAGAGGAAGCACAGCTGCCATGCATGGGCTCCACTTGCATTGCTACTGATTGAAGTCACAGAACTGTTGAAATGGAGCAACCCATCTTCATCTTTACTTGAAAATTGTTTTCATGAAAACGTATTAAGATTTGGATTTTTTTCTGAATGGACGGGGTGGGGTGGATTGTTATACGGGGTGGGAGGAAGGAGGGCATAGCTACACTTGACAGGAGCATTGTGTGCGGTGTTAACTCCAGTAGCAAAGGACCTGAGTTTTCAGGATTACTTTCTGCTCACAGTTGGATCATGTACATTTTACTTCAAAAGGAAGAGTCAAAGCTCTGTATTTTTTATATATTATATATAGGTAGATATTTGTCTAATTGGGCTTCAGAGAAAAATATATATGAAATTTCTGTAATTTATGTAAATAGAATACTGTGAGGCAGGTACACCTGGAAATGATGGTCTATGAACTCACTCACTGGTGGTCCTGCTTCTTTTCCTGTTTACTCATGTACTGTACAAGCAAACATAGATTTGTCTTAAACTCCTTTTCCAGATTGAGTTTACTTAGCCAAGAGTGATATGAAATGCAATAGGCTATGGAGAACACAATTCATTTTGGGATTTGAGGGAAGGGAGGGGGAAAAACACTGTTCACTGAGGTGTCCAGAAGACTCTCATCCTGTACATCCCTTCCCAGTTCTTGCCATCTGAAGCAAGTGCAAGTTTTGACGCCTTTGGGACTAGAAATTTCAAGAGGGTAAAAAAAACAAAACCAAGCTTGGTGCCAGTTGTATGAAATCAAGAAATCCAATTTCACAAGTCCTTCACATTTAAAAAAAATAAACGACATCTGTGCATTTGACTGATGGCTGGCTGTGGCTAGAGTGATCTTTAAACGTGTAAAGTTCCTTTATCACTTGCTGCAGTACAAGTTTGGGGTGGATTATGTAATCTTAAATATAACTTTGTGGGGCACGTGTGAAAGCTTAGCCATCGTGTACTAGAGTGCTGTGCCACTGCAAGAGCTGTAGAAGCCTATCGGGGAGCTTGGACTCCTAGCAGGCACATGAACATTGGAACCTTCATTTACCTGTGAAGAATGAAACTGAATATTGTATTTAAATAATGTATTAAGGTTTGAGGTAACTCAGCAAGCCTCTTATGCTAGCCCAGGGGCTCACTTCATGCTTCTGACTAGTGTGTGCATCCACTCCCCCTTTTTTTTCCTCTAAACAGAGTGGGGAGAAATCTTTGTCCATTCTCTATAGCTTGGATTAGCTGCTGAGAAGGCTCTTGTATTGAGGCTTTTATGAAACAGATTCATTGTGTAGCTTGTACTATACTTTGGGATAGCTTGTTAAAGGAGAACATGCAAATTTAAAATCTCTTCTAATGGATCTTTATGCTGTTGATGAAAGATAAAGTAGTAAGATCTGGATTTATGCTCAAGCCTTAAGCAGAATGATAGTTTTCAAATACCATCACTGTGATGACAGACTATATATATTCAGATTCTGGGACAGTGGAATGACCCAGAGGTCACCCTACTTACAATGGTCCAATCTCTCATTCAATAGGTTTTTTTGCTTGCCTCAGAGATTTTTCCCATTTTAAAAATATCCCTGATGAAACATGAATCTCTTCCAAACTTTTGTGTAGTGAGGAGGGATTGCTGCTCTCTTTCCTTTCAGCACTAGCATCAATGAGATGTTCCCTATGACCATGGATATGGTGATTTGTAATCTAGGACATACCCTAAAGATCAGTTTACTGCACTGACACCTTTTCTTGCACTGTTCCTCTTCCCGTATTCACAAATAACCCAGTAGTGGATTTGGAAGAGATTTAGATGTTACAGCAAACTGCTCTACAGGGATCATTGAAACTAAAAAAATGCCTTCCTGAATTGCTGCATAAGCAAGTCCCCACTTCATGGACACTAGGAAGAGAATGTGGGTGAATAAAAAGGATTGTTCTCTTGCATAGCTGTGTTAAGACCCTTTGGGGCTGGATGTGGTACCCAGGTTTCCTGAAAGCCTGTGGGTGCGATGGACTAAATCTGTAGAATCAAGCTATTAATCTGTAGGAAATAACCAGTTGAATAGGCGCTTCACTGGAACAGGATTAATACGATCAGTTTCATGCAGACAGTGAAATTCCATAATCTTTCCTCAGACATGGGCTTGAGCAGTTCTCCAGCTAGTAAAATCTATTTTAAGATTGTTAAACATGCTCAGTGTCTAAATTTTTAATGTACTAGTCTCAATTCTATTTGAAATTGGATCTACAGCCAAGGGAAGGCAGCAACTTTTGGGGACAGCCTTGGAGAAAGTCCCACACTGTTTTTCCTTATTCCTTAACTTTGTGTCTCATCAGGCTTGCTCTGTCTAGTCTTGTGAGGTTTTTTTTTTTTTTTTTTTTAATGTATCCCTTCCACAGACCGATTCTGTGTGGAAGTCTGTATGAAGAGAGTTCCAAAGCCACCTATGATCACTTAACGGATGAGGGACACGTCACCCATCTGAAGTATTACATGCACTAGATTACTGTTAGGTTTGGTGTGAAGACCATACATCCTTCTGGGATAGCCAAATTAGGGATCAGGCTCCATCTTTTTGCTATAGAAATGCAGCCCTAAAATCAGAGGTAAGATCTTGATTCATCCATAGTCAGTCTCCTGATGTGAGTCACTTGCAAAACCAAGGTTTTTCTTGCTCTACACATTACCTCAGGATCTTGTAAAAGAAATGGAGTAGTTCTCTGCATTGGAACGTCTTCCATTCATTGCAGAATGAAGATGCATTTGGATCTGCTTTGCAAGACTCTTTTTAAATGGCAGGCTTGTTTATTTTGGGGACCGAAATAGAAGTGGAATGAAACAACTACCTAAAACGTGTGGTGAAAGCTATGGTGGTAGTAAGGATGACTTCTTGCTTAGATTGACTCTACCATCTTGGTGCTATGAGAGAGCTTGCTTCTGTCTCTGAAAGCAAGAACCGTTCGTACACAAAGCAGTCAAGTATTGTTGGAATTACAACTCAAATCTTCCTTTAGCACCAAAAGAAACTGCAATTTAGGCCAAGGCACCTACTAAGATATTGTTCCTTCCTGTAATTAGCTTGATAACTTTTATGGAAAATGGTGGATTATTGGTTTACCAAAAAATTCTTGCACAACCTTCCTAACACAATCGGATGTTGGGAGAAGGGCATCACTTCATGCTGTCTTCTGAATTGGAACTTTATGCCTGATAGTAGGGAACAAGTTTGGCTTTTAGGTTGCTGCTCTTGCAGAGTACAGAAGAATCCATGCTGATGCCACCCTTTGTTGAATTATGCCTGATATCTGTAGATAAGCTCTCCACAAACACTTGTCTGTGGTGTGCATTTAACAAACATTCTCCTCCCCCTCCCCTGCATGTAAGCTACTTCTATTTTTTCTCAGCTCTCAGAAGTTCCATGTGGATCTACAAGAGCTATTGAAACTTAGGCATTCACCTAGTGGGTCTACTTTTTAAACAGTGTATGACCGCCTTTTCTAGCAGTATTCCATTGCATGCCATGGCTGCACTACAGACCATACGAACCCATTCAGTTAACCTCAATGCCACTTTTGTGCTGTCAGCAGTCTGGGCATCTTGAACCTCGTAGGTCTGGTGTTTGTTTCATACACTTATCTTCTGGGAGTCTGGACTGTTATCTTAGGTGCTCCCAAAATACTATGAAAGCTATTTTACTTCCTGCACACTATATTGCTTAGTAATTGTGTGCATTTAGCATATCTCCAGTTACGGTATTACCCAACGAATGCTAGCTAGAAAAACTAGCTTTACCATTCTCATTGTGTATGGACTTCTGATATTGACAGTACCTTTTTTAAGGTTACCTTGAATAACAGTACTGTAAACTAGAGAAAGCAATATCAACACAGACTGTCAGGGATAATTTGAGGAAGGATCCTCAAGCATGCAATTACACCAGTTAAATGCTAGTGTTTGGGGTGTTGTACTGGAGAACTGATACAATGGACTTTTTCCAAGTAGTCAGCCAGTTATCCTAGATTCATTACTTTATTCTGTCACATCGTAACTTGGAATAAAAAACCCCTAAAGTGCTTCAAGACCTGTCTCTTCAATCCTATGCTGCATTAAACAGCACAACCTCTTCTCTCAGCAGCTATCTTGGCATGTTCTGACAATCCAGCAGGCCAGTTAGCATGCATGAATATTCTTACCTTCTTTAATGGGTGTAGTAAAACTTCTGCTGCATTAGTGTGTGAACCGACATGTAAGGAGATTATAAAGCTGCAGTAATGGAAAACAAGATACATAGATGTACAGTACTAAAAATTGGTCCAAATTCTGTTAACTGGCCTAAATCCAAACTGACTTCAGCTGTTGCAAACTACTAGTGATGCCTAAGCAAACTACTACTTTCTCTTTACTAAAGTGTAAATTCTTTGGCAATCAAAATAGTCTTTGGACTGCCCACAGTGGGTGCATTTCTGTCTCAAGTGGAGTTTGGAATCTTCTCAGCCAAATGCACAGACTTAAATCTCTTCATCCTTGGTTACATTTCCTATTCTGTAAGCACTGAGGCCTGTATGCCATGCTGTAATGTAGCATTAGGGCTGACCTTGCATTCTTGACAGTGACCTCATTCTGGAAACTGAATTGCATCAGACTAATGGAGTAGGCATCTCCAGGTTAAGGAGATGGTGGGGGGAGAGGTAGCTGATTTATATCAGAATGATCCCTTTGGAATTACTCATTGGAATCCGTTTTAGGGAAAAGCATTCCAGACTTCTAGTATCTCCATCTGTTAAAGCATTAGAATTAAATTAGAACTTTAGTAGAGTGAATAGCCTTCTCCTTTGACCCTACGTTAAGGTAATCTTTTAATACTTTATCACTTCAGTTAGGGCCTAAGATTTCATCCTTTTACTGGGTGGAGCTTGGGCTTCTTCAGTTGACCTAGAGCAAATAAGCTGTCTGTATCATGTGAACTTGATTTTTGAGACGTAGACATCCTCTTTCCATTTTAAGGTTTAAGTCTGTACTTGATGTCTTACACAATACACACCTGTACTCAAACATGCAGCAGCTGTCTGACACAGAAGTAGTGTGGTGACTTTGAAAAGATCCCTAAAGTAGGTAGAGCTCCATCTGAATCCTACTTTCCTTCATTAGAAGTGCAGATCTAGTTCTGTAGTAAACCTGGATTCCTGCTTGCCATTTCACTGTGTAATACATGGGAGGATAAATGAAAGGTACACTCTTTAATTTTTTTTTACCAGCACAGGTCTATGCAAACTCCAAAACTAAATGAAATATGTCTTAAATATAAGATCTGGCCTTCTGGGACTAGTGTAATGAGAAGGGATATGTGTAGCTAGAGGTCTGACTAGTGAACTGGATAAAAGACTATTAGAGTGAATAGTATTTTGTAAATTTTCCTCATCTTCTCTGGATCCCTCCTTGGAACAATCCAGGAACCTTAAAAACTTAAGGGGTTTTTAAAGGAAACTTATAGGCCTTAGGACTGGCAATTAAAAGGCTTATTCTGCTGCAGTAACTGTTTTAAGCACTAACTCATATGAAACAAACCTTTGGTGTGGAACTGGTACTATGTCCTTAACACCCCACCGCTTTAATCAGTTCATGGTTGGGTTGTTATGCAGCCACTAGTGAGCATGGCACAAATGGGAGGAACAGTATACAGCTGTTTATCCAGTTCAAATCTGGGAACAGGAGTTCAGGCTATAGTCCCATCAACAGCCAAGAGTGATTCAACCTACTTTAAAAAAAGAAACCCAAACATTTCTTTCATAAAAGCTGAACAATCCTGGCTATTTCTCCAATGTGTGGCCCTTTGGAGGTACATTATAGCTGTACCTGGGTTGGTAGGCCTTGTGAGGATACACACTTGCTTTTAGTGTGATGTGTACAGATAAAAGATATCTATACACATTGACTTGAAAATGTATCTAAGTTGCCAACACTGTAATAGATACAAGATGCAAAATAAAAAGTCTGTTCCAAAGCTGACCTAGGTGCTCAAATCTGTCTGGATTATTTTTAGTGTCAATTGGGTGATCCTAGCAGCAGCATTGAAATATACCAGCAGGGTGCTCACATATGAACAGAACATCCCAGTGCTAAAGCATGTACAGCGGCAGCCCTGCATGGACGCAATTTATATCCACATTGCAAAAATGAGCTGCAGATATTTGCAAGGTTCTAGATACAAAACTTGTTTTCATATTGTGCTACAGCCATGAATGTGAATAGCTGTGGTTATACAGTGGATATCCATGGATTTGCTGGGCTCTTACACCCAATATATTGGTAAATATAATAAATTGGTAAACTGGTTTGGAAACATGAATAAGGAAAAGTTATTCCTACAATAGAAGAACTAGGGGGCATCAAATTAATAGGTTTAAAACAAATGGAAGTTTTTCCTTCTCTCACCGTACAGTCAACGTGTGGAACTACTTGCCAGAGGATGTGGTGATGACCAGGACTTTAACAGTGTCCCAAAAAGATACATTCATGGAGGTTAGGTCCATCAATGGCTATTAGCCAGGATGGGTAAGAATATCCCCTAGCCTCTGTTTCTCTAGAGGTAGGTGACAGGAGAGAGATCACCTGTTGTGATTCCTCCCTCTGGGGCAGATGGTATTGGCCACTGTCAGCAGACACACTATTCTGTTCATAAATGCATAGCTAAATGCTAGGAAAACTCTCCAAAAGCTTTGATGGTGGATTGCTTGGAAATGTGTAAATTCAACATGGGGGAAAGACCACTTTGCTGGGCAAGCACAATTTGAACTGTGCCAGCCCAGGCCTCATCTACTGCTATATGGGATCATTCTATTATGCCCATTTCACTCTCTCCTCCAGAGGAGAAAAATGTACTAATCGAAGCGGTCTTCAAATTCTACGTTGTCCTTTTCACTCAGCTGGGACTGCAGATGCAGCTAAAGGTCTAAGCGCTCCTAGCTGTAAATCAGTGGTAGCAGGGCTAGTTTGAGGTTAAATGCTACTTTAACTAGCCTGTCTCCCATACTATTGTGTATGGCAGGTAGGCAGCACTGTGGAAAGGGAGAAAGAAGGTCCCTGTCAATATACCTACATTTTAAACTACTTAATTCATTCTCAGGGAGATTTAATTAGAACAGCACAATGCATATACTGTACTGTTGACCATACTGGAGACTACCCAGACCAGCAGTAATTAATCCATGAGTTAGCTGTAATTTGCTAAGTGCTGGGACTGCAGTTTTCTTTGAGCCCAGTAGAACTTCAGTAATGAACAGACAAATCAACCATATACTAGAGATGTGAATGTGTACCCAAGTACACAGTTAGGGCCAGGCTCATCAGTTAACTCTGCTGCCTACACACAGCTCCCCCTGCATGTTAACATGTAACCACTGAAAGTTACAGCAGTTACATATTTACACAAATGCATTTTAACATACCTACCATACACATCATTTGGAATTGGAAAGATACAATCAGGCAGCAGGGAGAGGAAGCAAATACATGTATTAAATGAACTACCAAAAAAAGTTTTAAAAAACATTGACAAGGAAACTACTTTCATTGAAAGACAGTCAAAATATTTTTCTTCTGGAAAGTGCAGTTTCAAAGCTGTATTAAGTTCAGTTGTAAACCTTTAAAAACAACCCTGTTTTGTTCAGACTTATGAACCTCCATTCCTGAGCTATTTGTAACTGTGAGTTTCTACTGTAGGGTATGATACACAACTTCCTCCAGACAAAATGTGACCCTCTATTATCCTCTTGTTTACTTTTGCTTGAGTAAGCAGTATGGTGCAGCCAGACCTGTTCCTTTGGTTTGTGGGGATCCAAGTGTGCAATTCAGCCTACTACTATTGCAGACTCAACCTGTAAAAGGTGAGGAATATGATTTCCACCATAACTAATGGTATAGTTCCCCATTTGTAGGAAAGGTGCAGCTATTCCCTAAACACCTTAACAGCCACTTGAGTAATTCAAACTTACTTTGTGAAGTAGCTAAGGCTATAAAAGGCCAAAGGAGTACGTCTGGGCTGTTTCCACTAGGCCAGTTTCTTGACTTGAGCCCTGGCCTTCTCTTGCTCCAGACTCAGACTGCCCCTCTAGTGGCTGTGCAGCTTAGGGAACTTGAATCTATATTGGGGTGTAGGTAAATTCTAAGGTGACAGGCTAGCCCCTGCTATCCTCCACCTACCTTGGACTAGCCCTCTTACTTGTGAAAAATGTCAACAAAAGAAAGCTACCACTGCTGCTCCCTAAAGTGGGTGGGGGCAGAGACTGTATGGTTCAAAGTCATGGCAATAGTTAGGCTAATGCATGTAGCTGTTGCTCCTCTCAGCTTTCTTTTCACCATCCCCAACCCTGGCTAGTGCCTCCCTGGCAGGAATGTAAAATCCCATTTAATCTGTTAACCAATTAAATGTTTGGTTAAACCAGTTAAGTGACTGAGTTGGATCCTGGGTGAGGGCCCACTTCAGCTGGGCTGGAGCAGCCCATGGGGCTGCCAACTCTGCTGGCCTAGCCCATGACACAGTGGGCCTATGAGCCTGGAACAGCTGCCCACCTGCGAGCGGGAGGCTGCTCCTGGACACTGGTTAACTGTTAGCCAGTGGGCTTCAGCCTTATCGCGTATTGCCTATTTGGTAACCAGTTACCTGTTCACACCCTTACACTCTGCCCCTCTCCTCACAGCTCCCCCTGGAGACAGTAGCTCCCACCCCTGGGGCTAGTGCCTCCCTGGCCCCCCTCCTACCAGCTTCCCCCTCTCCCCCCCC